AACCCTTGAGACAAGATGAACCTCTGGCCTCTCTTCTGCTCCGAGCCAAAGACAACACAAAGCAGATGTGCAGAATCGGGAACAGGATGGATAGATGAGATGACAGGGCGGTCTAGCCAATTCTTTCTGTGCGCATATAGCGCAAAATCCACCCCCGTGTCCTTACGGGCTCCGTTGATGAAGCTGCGGTCACAGGGGTGGGCTTCAAAAATTTTAGCAAGGCGTTCTCTGCCTGGGTGCTGGGTGGGCGTGGCCATGGTGGGCGTGGCCTAGTTGCCTTCCTTCCTGTAGGGGGAACGGGGCGTTTTCACCTCTCCGGGCTCCGGAGGCTTTTATCGAGCCTCTGGGAGAGCAAAAACAGCCTCCTCAGACTCCGGAGGCTCTCTGGAAGTTGGAAACAGGCCCATTTCCGGCCTTCCTGGACTTCCGGGAGGCCCGATTTTTGCCTTCCCCGAGCCTCCGTGCGCACCCTGCACCCAAAACAGGCCGCGTGGGGACTTCTGGGAGGGGGGAGGCAGGGGAGGGTTGTGGGTGCTCCAACATGGGAGGTTGGGCAACATGACCACCAAGCCACGCCCACCACCCAAGCCACGCCCACAGAACCGGTAGTTAAAAAATTTGAATCCCACCCCTGGTTGGAAGGGACCTTGGAGGTCTTCTAGTCCAGCCTCCTGCTTAGGCAGGAAACCCTATACCATTTCAGACAAATGGTTGTCCAATGTCTTCTTTAAAATCTGTAGTGTTGGAATAACCACAACTTCTGGAGGCAAGCAATTCCCCTGATTAATTGTTCTCTCTGTCAGGAAATTCCTCCTTAGTTCTAGGTTGCTTCTCCCCTTGATTAGTTTTCACCCGTTGTTTTTTGTCCTGACTTCAGGGGCTCTAGAATGTGTGAAACCTGGCTTGGTAGTAGAACTTGTGATAAGAAGAGAAGAGAATAATAGAGTTGGAAAGAACCTTGGAGGTCTTCTATTCCAACTTCCTGCTCAGGCAGGAAACCTGATATCATTTCAGACCAATGGTTGCCCAACAGGGGTAGGATTCAAATTTTTAACAACCGGTTCTGTGGGCGTGGCTTAGGAGGTGGGCGTGGCTTGGTGGTCAGGTGACTGAGTGGACATAGCTTGGTGGTCATGTTATTGGCTGGGCGTGGCCAACTCAATATCGCTCACATCGAGGCACGCATCTCCTCGCCTGGCCTCTCATGACTGTGGGGATGCTGCAACAGTCGTAAGTGTGAAAAAGGGTCATAAGTCACTTTTTCCAGTGCCATTGTAACTTTGAATGGTTACTCCACACAAGCAAAAGACCAGCAAAGGAGGAGAAAAAAACTCCAGAGAGGTTCCTGAGACAGGAAGTCTAGTCCTGCCAAGAATGTAATAAGGGTTAACAGAGAGGCAGTTTCTGTAAGCAACACCAGAATGTTTCCTTCCTGCCTTCCTTACAGGATTAGGCCAGTAATTTCTTCTAACAACCGGTTCTCCAAACTGCTTAGAATGTTAACAACCGGTTCTAGCAAATAGATGCAAACTGGTAGAATCCCATCCCTGCTTCCAACTCTATTATTCTAAATTTGAACCCCATAAGGGGAGAAAGGAAACAGAACTAGGCAAAGCACATTCTTTCATGCATTTTATTCATTTTATTTATATTTCATATACTTCTTAACCGCCTTCATCCCTCATTATTTTCTGATGCATAAGAGAGTTTTCTATTGTTGATAAAGGTGATTCTTTTTACCAATTCATCTTCAGGTGAACCTAGGTCAGGAAGGGAAAACTTTGACTCAATCCCCATCTCTCCATAAAGCCTGAGGTGGACCAGAGCTCAAATCTTATAAAGTCCCAAAATAACATTCTCCACTTTGATTGATAGCTGTCCCATTTCTCATGACTATTGAGAAAGCATTTGACCTGCACTGAATAAACCAGAAACCAATGGCATGGCAAGGCTCTCTTTACAACAACAAAAATTCTGAGATTTTTTCCCCCAATATCTATGAAAGGATTATTCCATACATAGCACAGACCATGAAACTCAATCTGCCGATAGCATTAAAAGGATGAAGTAAATAGATACAATTAGAAGAATGTGGTAGGTTATAAATTTGAGGGAGAAAACCTAGTAACTAATGCACTTTCTGAAAATGGAAATGATAGTTTGAAGTTGCTGAGTGGGTAAGTAGTGTATGCTTCTCATTTAATCTCAGTTTTTTTAATGGGATGTAGTAAAATGCTACAATCCGGGAAAGACCTGCTTCAAATATTAATTTAAGTCGTTCTCTTCTTCTTTGCTAATAACAACATGCAGCTCTGTAGCTACACCCACCAAATTTGAAGCTTTGTTCATTTTTGAGTTTTAATTTTTTTTTTCATAGAGACATGGGAAAACGTTTTTTTCCTTAAAAAAAAAATGTTTCCGCTTCTTAGATTTAAGAATTTCCAGCCAAGTACAACTAATTCCAAAATAAAAAATAATTTCAAAAGTTATCCGTTCAAACACTTGGCATGGCGTTGTTCTTTGAGTCAATTCTGCCCTCTTGCGGTGCAACTCACCAATTGTGCTCGTCTCTTTTTTAAAAAAATATGTTGTTATTGATTTTCATCTTCATAGAGGGAGGTAACTATGAAAACAGTGCTTTGTTTTCAACGGCAAGCAATCCCAGTGGGAAAAGTAAGGCTCAAATCAGTGGGGAATATGGACAGCATTGCTTAGCTTCCAACACTGAGCAAATTAAAAAATGCTTTTTTATGCGTGTATATGCAATCCCAAGTATAAACCCAAAAAAGTGCATACTGGGTAAGGACGACTTCTTTGATACTATGCATTTTAGAGAAGCTTCTCTTTTGGTGAATGGAGATTAAGAGCAGCCGTGTTTCCTTCAAGTAGTTTATTCTGAAGGTATCCCCAAGATCAAGGGAGGTACTAATACCACTCTATAAAGCCTTAGTAAGGCCACACCTAGAATACTGCAGGGGTGGGCTTCATAAGTTTTAGCAGCCAGTTCTCTGCCCGCTTGCTGGGTTGGCATGGCCATGGTTGGACACGACCTAGTCGGCCTCCTGCACCATGATGTTTTCATGGTGTTTTCATCCTTCCTGGGCTCCGGAGACTTTCTTCAAGCTTCCTGGAGGGCGAAAATGGCCTTCCTGGGCTCCGCGGGTCCTCTGGAGGCCAGAAATAGGCTTGTTTTCGGCCTTCCAAAGCCTCCATAAGACCCACTTTTTGCCCTCCCCAAGCCTTTCCTCACCTGGCATCCAAAATTGGCTGCAGAGTGACTAGGAGGAGCAGGGTGGGGTGGGCGGGGCCAGCCAGGGGTGGGATTTGCTGCTTCGCTGAACCGGTCATTAAAAATGATAAAATTAGCTACCGGTTTGCCTGAACCGGGCCAAACCGGTAGCAGCCCATCATTCGTCAAAGTCTGACCCGTGTTCTATCTCCCTCTATTCCCCTACCGCCAATAGTTCGTTGACAAGATGAAATGCGATAAGAGAAGCAACAGCAAGAGGTTTGAGAGATATACTCACACTTGAGAAGTTATTTAGCCCTTCTCCGGGAGTGGGTGTTGTGCAGGAAAAAAAAAGAGAGAGGGAGGGAGATAAATATTGCTGGGATCAAGACAGAAACATTCAAAAGTAACTCAATAGTCAAAGGTAATTCCAAGTACAGGTGTTTTTCTTCCTTTCTCATTCCTCCAGAATACTTGACTCTAAAGACTAAAATGCTGATCCTCCCCATTGATGTCATGTATGTTTGCTTTCTTTTTTCTTTAAAAAAAGCAATCCTTTTACGTCTTTGGAAATGCAAACAAACTTGAGACCGAGCTGCACCCTAAATGTTGTATATCTGAATGCTAATCTACTAACACATAATTACATGAATGCACTCAAAAGACGTACTATTTATTTGTGTAAACAAAATACACATGCATTATTAATCATTCAGCATCAGGTAAAGAAGTTTATACATTGTTGTTTTTGTTAACGCTCCTCCCAAAGGAGAGGTTTGCCTTCTAAGTTAGGATTTACATCTGTTTCTCCCTTCACGTTTTCAAAAGAAAAGAACCAAGAGTGAAACCATCCATTTTTTTTTTAAAAAAAAAGTACAAGTACAAACAATTAGATCCCAATCACATTTTTGGAAGAAAAATTCAGTCTGATTCCAATCTGGGAGAAAGGCGCTGGAAATAAAATGGAGGCTGACTGCAAGGAAACAGTCAGACTTCTAGAAACTTCAGTGATAGTAGCAATGTTTCTGGGGTGGCTGACAAAATGACTGAGTGAATGGATGGATCTTTATAGGTTTTGGGGGGGGGTGTTTGAGATGCTCCAGGGGGGTTGTGCAATATAGTGAGCCTTGTGTCTTTTGTTATTCTAATGGTGGTGGGTAAATCCTATTATGTCCTAAAGGTCATGTCCTGTCCTTAGAATTTGGGTGGGGGGAATGTAGATTTTAATCCCATCAGCTCCAACCTCCTGTGAGTTTTGTTGATGAGTAGATTGGCCCATTCCCCTGAATGAATACAAAATCTCCATCTTTAAAGATGTGTGGCTTCTGCTTGAGGCTATTAAGAAAGACTGGGGTTGCTTTCTGCCTTTAAGAACACGTTTCTCCATTTCTCCTTTGAGGAAATCTATACTGCCTCACATAATATTAAAAATAAAGAAAATTTGAATCTGGGGAGGGGGCTTCCTATAACACTAACTATACACAACAAAATAAAAGAGTACTGATTAATTTCTGGTTCTTTACAACTTTTCCACATTCCTGGCTATGACCAAATTAAGTCAATTAAAAACTAAAAATAAGCCAACAATGAATAAACTATCATTCTTAAAAGTTATCTTGTTTTTAAAAAATGACTGCTTACCCACACCCACCCACTGCCAAAGCAAGGTCCTTGATATATTATTGGCCCATATCGCAACCAGAAAGGAAACTAGAAAAACAATATCGATGAGATCAGAAATCAGTTAAATGGCTTAATTCTTCTTTTTCAGCCTCCTGTTGTACTTGGATGTCACAAGCTCAGACCGAATTTAAAAGGGTGGCCGAAGCAAACGTAACTTTGCCCTGCCTTCATCGCCTGCACCTTCTGGAGCCAGCGAGTCTGGATATAGAGTGGCTGCTAAAGAATTCTGAAGCTGAACCGAAAGTGGTAGGTCTAAACCTAGTGTTCCAACTTTAACACACGAGGACTTCAGCTCCCAGAATTCCACGTGCTGTCTGAGGAATTCTGGGAGTTGAAGTCCACACATTTTAAGGTTGCAAAGTTTAAGGAACATCAATCTAACCGATAAAATACATTGGCCCTAGTCTAGAACATTGTTGTATGGCCCATTTGCTAGGATTGTCAATATTTATAGAATGAATATTTATGGGTATGAGAATGTGGATTTATAGGACTATGGATCAGGCTTTCTTGCAGATGCACATTGCAAATAGCTTCTTTGTATATGCTGATGTATCCGGAGTAATTAATACAAGACCAAGCAGAAGGCAAAAAGGTGTTTAAACACTGTCTCTCTGTAATTCTTTAAAACAAGTAAGTCTTGTTATGTCCCTGTTTACTATAAATCTCCCTTTTGCACAGCCTTATATAATTGTGATTTGCCTTCACTATGATTTTTAGCTCAAAAGGAAAGAATCTGGTTACAAAAATGTGATTCATCCACTGGTTTTCCGACAAGGCTTACCAAAGATTTCACAGCAGTCATCTGAGCATTGAAAACATTTATTTTTTCAACTGGACTCAAGAATGGCTGATAGACAGTCAAAATTATGAGTCATGACAAGTCATCAAATATACCATTTAGTGGTTACAGCAGGAATTCCACTACCCAACAGCCATCTTAAAAATCATCTCTTTTCCAATCTTCGCAATTAAGAGGACTGAATTTCATTGTTTTTTCACGCAGTGCAAAGATAGCAGAAGATACATAGATGTCTGCTGAGCTTTTTGAAGGGATCAGAAAAGATCAGCCAAGCATTTTCTCTTTCTCAATTGCTTTGCAAAAGCAGCAGTTAAACTTAACTTCCTCCAAATATTCAGCTCTGCTGATGAAATGAAGTGTGAGATAATCCTTTAAGCAAGCAAACAAAAACCATTATCAGGTTATGATCAGCTCCAGATTACAGCTTGGAGGCTTAAAGTGCTATTCACTAAACACAGAGGCATATATCAGGCACTAAGAATTTAGTTCCCTACTCTCCAAAAAAAAAAAAAAAACCCTTCCCTCTTCCTTAAATAGTGAAATAAAGTGTTAGATTTTCAAAATAAACCCTTCTACCAATTCCAGTTATCAACAATCATTTGGAGAGGATTAGTCTGGCTTTTAGAGATTGAAGAGAACTCCATATTTCATCACGTTAAACTCATTTGCAATATGCACGCTTTCCTTCTCTAAATTGGAAGTACCTTAAAATTTGGTTTTTTGGTGAATCCCAGTTAGAGTGTGTGGCCAACAGATCCATTAAGGAATACAGTAATTATGAAACTGAACTGATGCACACTGTTATTAATAATTTTGAAAGCTTGCCTTGTTACTGGTTGTGTGAAGTGAGTAATCATAGCTGGGGAGGTTATCTGGTCAACAAATAAATGCTGCCATAAGTTTAACTAAGTTTGCAAAAGACCCTTAGGTGATGAGCAACTTTGTCTCCCAGGTGATCACTTATGCAGGAGGCAACATCTATCATGATATGATCGAAGAACAGAAGGGCCGTGTTTCATTTGCCTCCAATTTCCTGAGTGGAGATGCGTCTTTGGAGATTTCTCTCCTGCAGCCAAGCGACTCTGGGCAATATACGTGCAAAGTTAAAAATGCTGGACAGTATGAATGGACACACATCACTCTGAAGGTTCTAGGTAAGATGGTCACCACATTTCCAAAACAAGTATTTAGCTTTTCAGTTGATTATCCTGGGGTTTTTTTCTGACCCACAGGGAAAATCTCACTGATTGTCCCAACGGTGCTTTTTAAGGATGTTCTTGTTTTTTTCATTTGAAGACGTTTTGCTTCTTACCCAAGAAGCTTCTTGGATGGTCAGAGCTGAAGAAGCTCCTTGGACGAGAAGCAAAATATCTTCAAAAGGAAAAAAAACAAGAATGTCCAGTTGCCTCCTGAAAAAAGTACCTTTGGGACAACCATGACCTGGATGACGGAGAATCTCTACAGACTTTTTAGCTATGCAACTTGGATTTCATTTAAGTTTATTTATAAATACAATATGCAATTTGGGATGAACACCCTTGGAACGGTGTGGGAGTAGGAAAAAAACTGCAGACTAGAGGAACCGGGGGCAACACTCAGGTGACCCTGAGGACACAGATAAACCTCCAAGTGGCCTCAACGACCCTCTAAAAGGATGCAAACGACCAGCTGTTTGCAAGAAAGATAAATCCTTCCGTTCCTCTCCATCCAGTCAGAGCTGAAGAAGCTTCTTGGATGAGAAGCGAAATGTCTTCCCAAAAAAGGTCCAGTTGCCTCCTGAAAAAAGCACCTTTGGGACGACCCTGGATGACGGAGAATCTCTGCAGAATCTCACTGACTGTTTCTTCTTCCTTTCCAGAAAAACCTTCGAAACCCAAATGCTGGAAGGAAGGGGTGGCATCTGAAGGAAAAGAAATCACTTTACAATGTAACTCCGTCTCCGGCACAGCCCCTATCATGTACATGTGGCAGCGTGTAGACGCAAAGGGGAAACTTGCCTTTCTGCCGCCCTCCACACGTCACAGTGAGTTCGGCCGGTTCAAACCATCCCGCCGCTTCCCCCGGGAATTATACTATTTCTTATTTTAAAAGCATCACTGTTTACACCAGGCAACTAATTGTACAATGGAATGATACCGTTATGCTGCAAACGTCATTGAATCCTGCCCCTTCGTTTATTTTAGATCTGTCTAATCCTGCCCAAATTATTGTGAAGAATCTCACGTGGACGTTCACAGGATCTTACCAGTGTACTGCCTCCAATGAAGCCGGAGAGGAGAGCTGTGTCGTACAGGTGACAGTGCAGCGTAAGTATGGAAGATCCCTGGAAAGATTTGAACCGAGTTTGGAAAAACTACGGATAACCAGGGTGGGAATCAGAGTATATGTATTCTGCTACGGACTTGTAAGATTCTGTTAATATAGCCCTCCATTTACAACTGTAATTGAGCCCAAATTTTCTGTTAAGTGAGACAGTTATTGAGTTTTTGCCCCACTTTACGACTTTCTTTCCACAGTTGCTAAGTGAATCACTTGTCTTCTTAATGACCCCCCCCCATAATCCCTTACAGTGGGGTGGAGTCTGGGCAACTGAATGGACCTGACGGTGTACTGGCCGGACGCCCTTCCTGTCACCAATGCAGAGTTTGCAGCAGATATTTAACGGTACTCATGGTGCAGAGATCTGCCGCTACCTAGGATTGAACTCACAGCCTCCTGATTGTGAGGCGAGAGCTCCACCTCTAGGCCACCTCACCCCTCATGCTAAGTGAATCGCTGCAGTTGATAAGATTAGTAACAGGGTTGTTAAGCGAATCTGGCTTCCCCATTGACTTTGTCAGGTCACAAAAGGGAATTGTGTATCCTGGGACACAGCAATGGTCATAAATATGAACCAGTTGCCAAGCATCTGAATTTTGGTCAGGTGATCACGGGGATCCTACAAAGGTCATAAGTATGAAAAATGGCCGCAAGTCGCATTTTTCACTGCCGTTGTCATTTTGAACGGTCACTAAATGAACTGTTTTAAGTCAAGGACTACCTGTGTAGCTCCGGTCCCAATAAAGGAGACTATCTGTAGCTCAGGGTTGAAATGAGGGCTCCTTGGTGTTCTCTGAGCTTGGTGGTTTTCTTGCAGGCGTTTCAATACCCAATTAGGGAACATCATCCATGCTAGTCACTAGCATGGATGATGTTACCTAGTTAGGGTAATGAAACGTCTGCAAGAAAACAAAAGCAAGCTCAGGGAGCACCAAGGATCTCTCGTAGTTCTAGTCTTCCAAGGGAATGGGTTTCCTTTTCTACCTTGTGGGACTGAGCCAGTTCTCAGTAGAACATGATTGAATAATCAAAACAGGTGGTGATGTAACGTGAGTCATTGTCACCAGGGCTCCTTCTTCTAGAAAGGGCAGCCACTGGTGCACCAGTCTGAGCTGGGAAAAGGCACGCCCAACCCCAGCATTCATCAGAGCTGTGGGCTGAATAGAACTCTTAAAATGAAGGAGATGTGGTAGCGAAGAGAAAGTGACCTCGCGGAAAGCAGTTACTACAAACAAAATTGCAGCAAAACATTCCTGTGAAATCGATAAAAAAAAAAAATCCTCCTTCCAAGGATTCAATTTGAGCTTCTTTCACTCCATCCAGGACTTAAAATGCTGGATTGAGACCTGTGGAGCATCTCTGGCTGTGCTCGAAGTAGGGATGTATACCTGAGCGTCCTCAGAATATTCATCAAAGTTCACCACCCCACCTTATTCAAAACTTCTCCGGAAAATTTCATGTAGATGTTAAATAACACAGAGACGGTAGCTGGTCCTGTGGGACGCCGGAGCTTTTTCCCACGAGTATCTGCTCATTTAAAAAAAGTGTGACACAATCTTAAAAACAGCCTCCTACTCTGAATCCCAATATGCAGTCCAGAAGGATGCCATGTTTGTCAGGCATCTAAAAGGACTGGGAAGGGTGTGCTTCCTTCATCCGGAATTTCCTGGTATTCAACACCGGAACTTAAAATTTTAACAAATGAAAAGTCTAATGTGCAAAATATGCCAAGACCAAAACATTTTAACATTTTAAATCTAAGCTTGGGAGTCAGCTATGTGAAATATGCAACGCAAAAGCTGAGGCAACACTGAGTACATTTAGGGCAATTAATAGTCTTTATGCAACAAGGTGGATTACAACACTGTTGAATATCTGAAGTGATAAACTACTAGCATTTGCATAATCTGAGATGTGTTGGCTGAGGAAAAATTGAGAAGAAAACAACCAGCCCACTTACTCTAGGGCAGGGTTAATTCAGTTTAACCTGTGCTATAATTTTATTCACAGTTTAGGCATGGAAAATGAAGTCTCCCTTGAATTGAGCTTGTTTCCTGGAGACAACGCAAACATGTCCATGTTGTTTTCTTGCTACTTGCACAAGAAGTGATTCGTCTTCAACTTCTTCCAGAGTAATTCTGCAACTTTCCAAAATAGTGTAGAAACCCTGGGACTTCCTGTTGATCTCTGTCTCAATTACAAATCAGGTGCAATTTGTTTTATCTTTTTCAAGGTCATCCAAAGATGCCCAGGGCTATACCTCCTGTGGCATAAAACAATGAGAATATTCTATCCATTCTGAAAAAGGAATTGAAAATGTCTATGCAACAGATGCCAGAATTACAAAAGCAGTATTTGGCTGTAAAATAAATAAAACTTGGCATTTGTTTCTGAACCAACAGGTCCCCCAAATGTCGGCATCGTTGCCGGAGCAATCTGTGGAGTAATGGGAGTATCCTTGCTCATTGTCTTGGCTGTGTGGCGAACTATCAAAAGGAAAGAAAAAAATAAATATGAAGAAGAGACTCCAAATGAAATCAGGTAATTGCTTCTGTAATAACACTCTAACCCAGGGGTCTCCAACCTTGGCCCCTTTAAGACGTGTGGACTTCAACTCCCAGAATTCCTCAGCCAGCGAAGCTGATCAATGGCTCCCAGCAAAGCTGACTGAGGAATTCTGGGAGTTGAAGTCCACACGTCTTAAAGGGTCCAAGGTTGGAGACACCTGACCATCCAAGTTTCAAAGCCTCTTAATTTTATTACAGAACAGCCTCAGAACTGGAAGGAGAATGTAAATCAGTAATAAAGGGAATGTTTTATGTGCAATTCCAAAATCAATCACCAAATTCAGTTTTAAAGACCACGTAGTAGGGCTCCAAAACATCTCTGAAACCACGTGAAGTGTGTCCAAGTTGTGAGAAATCCTAGAGTGCTCTATGAACTTAAAGAGTCTGTCAAAAATATGTTCTATTTTCAAAGATTTAACTTATTTACTATACCATTTCTTTTCCTGGATTACAATTGCAATGTCCTCTGGAGAAAATAAGGCTAATTTTCTCCCTCTGATACAGGTCTTGATCTTCTATGTAAAACAAATTTACATTTTCAAAGATGGAACGAGGACTTACTTCCTTTCGTGTTTTGAACTATTTAGCCATCAGCATACATGGGAGGGTGCACACTTTTCATAACTTGTTTTCTGTCAAGATGACAATATTCTGTGTTGAATCTACTCTATCATAGCACATCACCTCTTACTAAACATTTCTCGAACTTTCTTTGTGGGGCATTTATGGAAAATTTTCGAAAGTGACTCAACTGGCAACACCCTTATGACTCAAAGGAATCCTGCGGTTTAGTTCTACTTGAATTACATTCCTCCTTTATATTCCTTTAGGTGTTGCAATCTAATCATGCTGACCCCTGCAATTTTTGAGCCATCATTAAAGATCCTCAATAAATCCTTGAATTCGCCTAAACTGATTTTCCTAAAAACATCTCCAAAGGTTTTTTTTTAATTGCATGGAACTTCCCTGTCCCGCCTGCTTGCCTTTTTTTTTCTTTTTTGCTCATCCTTTGCACAGCTTCCATATCTGGATTTTTGTTCATTTCACTGCCAATTCCTGAAAGCCACATAAAAGGCTTTATAAATTAATTGGCATAGGAAGTAGAGAATGCCACAAAACAGCACAAATGGTTTTTTCATATTTAACACAGGAAAACACAAGGAAAAAAACCCTATCATACTTGAGGGAAGTCCAAGAATCAGGGGAAAAGCAATGAATTCTGAATTTGGATTAAAAACTGATTCAAACTGCACTCTGAAGGAGATGAATCTTGGACAACAAGCTTTTAAAAATTAGACAAATCCATGGAAGATTAAAGTATCTACGCACTTTTCGGTAGCATCCATCCTGATCACTTCTGCCGACACCAATTTTAGGTGAACTTGCAGCTCTTTATGGAAATAGAATTCTAAACAATATTTGAACCTTTAGTCTGATCCAACAACCCATTATCTTGTAAAAGGTAGATGATGTTCTCTGTAGGTGTGAATTTCAGTTGAGTCAGAAACAGGGCAATTATGTGGGTCACATACAGCAGCCATCCACCTGAAATTCAATCCCAGAATTCAGACACAAGGACTTGGAAATAGAATCAATTTCTAAAGGCAGGGCTTAAAATCTGAGAGTCAAAGGTTTTATTTGTACATAGGCTCAGGACTGACTAAATTATGGTTTGATGAATTAACCCAACTGCCAGATTCACACAAACCAAAGAGTCATAAAGTAACTTCTGTGTCTAGGTTCCTAAAACTCAAATGAACTATGAATTAGTCAAATGATTTTAGCCTAGCATGTTTGGGAAAATCAAGCTAAGCCAGTGATCAATCATAAGGGGAGAACTAGGACTACAGAAAAAGGATGGCAAGACATTCCTGGAAACAATCAGGAAATTGAAATAAATGTCTTTTCAGACTCTTGGAGCTCTGACTAAAGGTAAGGAGCATTCCTATTCAAATGCAAGCAGCTTATTTTTTAGTATAATTTATTCACAAGATTTCTTCTTCTCAGTCTAATGTATCTTTACCAGGTAATTAATCATGCTTTTATATATAAAAGAATATTATGATTCAGTTGAGGGAGAGCTTTTTATATCGGGAAGGAGTGGTTAGGAAGAGATCTCTCCCAGCTACTTAGAACAAGGTTTCTCAAACTGTGAGGTAGACTCCCTTGGGCAGATACAAGTCCAGGGGAGGAATGAATAACTTTTCAGGTACATTGTTATAATTAATCCACCTTTCCAAAGTTTCATTGTACTGTTTTCATTGTTCATTTCCGTTCATTTTGGTGTCTGGTTTTTAAGGGAGGGATGCACACGCTAAGATCACAAAATTAACAATTAGGTCACGTGCCAGAAAATGCTTTATTTTCAGTCAGTGCCTCTAGAGTATTCTTTTTTGTTCCTTGGTCATGAATAAAAAAAGAGGTTCAAATGCTTTGCCTCCCTGAAGCTTATTACAAGTTGCTTTTACCATACATCAAATAGTTCTGTTCAACAGTTTAACAATAACAATAAAACAAACAATACCAATCTGACTCCAAACATCTGGCTTGTGCAACCAACAAAAATAATGTAACAGCACTGCAGAGAAAATTATTTTTAAAAATGCTACTTCTTTTAACAATGATGGGTGAAAAGTATTTTGTCAACAGGAACAGCTGAGAAAATGTAATTTTCACCGGTCTTGGCTTAAAAAAGCTGCCTATAAATATGTCTAGACTGTTGGGCAGGTAACCCAGAAGATTTGCTAAATCTTGAGCACACCAGGGAATCTGTGTTGTAGGACTGTTACTGGTCTTTTATTACTTGGATTTTCAATCATTTTTGCTTTCGTTTAATCCCAGGGAAGATGCAGAGGCACCCAAGGCCCGATTAGTCAAGCCTGGCTCTTCCTCTTTGGGCTCCAGAAGTTCACATTCTGGTTCTTCTTCAACAAGATCCACAGAAAACAGTGCCTCCCGCAGCCAGCAAACCCTGTCAACAGAAGCTACTCCACACCTAACACCGACGCAGCACAGCCCCCTTGAAATGAATGGCAGGAAAACTGAGCCAAAGAGAAGTAACTACACCAGTTTGATCAAAACGGAAGTGACCTCTACAATGGTGCCTGCTCAAAGTCGAGCTTTCCAAACCGTCTGATTACTGTTCCATCCAGCTCTATCTATATCCATAAATTACATGCACTGCCAACATTATGCAATTATTTTATTTTCCAATGCAACATTGGTTTTCTATAGTCATGCACATACACACAAAGAACAAAAACCCTCAATATTTTTTTATCCTTGTTTTTTGAGGTACAAGCAGACTCGGGAAAGAGAACTCATGTTGACCTTGTAAAAACAATTATTTCTATTTTTTTAATATTTTAATTTTTGAGATTAAAGCTTGGAAGGAGAAAAGGGAATGCTAACACATCAGGAATAGCATTTTGCAGTTTTGGACCCTTTTTTTTTTTTAAAGAATACTGTGGAATAGAGATGTTCCAGTAGAATTCTTAAGGGAAAATGAAATGCATATGTATACAATTGTCTTCTCAATTGTGACCTCTGTTTTTCACTGCTAATGTTAAGTCTGATCAGCTTCAAGAGAAAATTGACAGGACTTTGCATGTGCCCTTTTCTTGAATTATCAATATTTGGACACATCACCAACAAAGCAAAAAACAGTAACTTTGGGGAAAAGCGAAAAGCAGTATTAGATTTTAATTGGTCTTCTTTACTGGAGGGACTTTCTGTGAACATGGAAGTGCATTAATTTAAAAAGGTACGTATGACTGAATACGGCTAAAGAATATAGACATTAGCCCACTGTGACCAAGCTAATGTATTTGTATGTATGTATATATTCATAAATAATAAGCAATTCCACTAAAGGGAATTTATATCCTAATGGATCATTAGAATGTGAGATCAGCATCAAATCCTGAATTCCATTTACAAGTTTTTAAAAATGTTTTTTTTTAAATATTGTTCTCTATGCTGGACATAGTGACATTCATTTTTAGGATGAGTAGTGCCAAAGGGTTTTTTGGGGGAGAGAATTTTTGGTCAGAATACAATGTCATGATTAGTAAACATTTTGAGGTAATAATCTAGAAAATGTGATCATTTGGATGGATATAGCATACTCAAACTTATAAAACTAACAGCAGAATTTAAAGGAGATATAAAGAATGGAAATGAGCTGGAAATGTAGATTCCAGCACTCGTGTTAAAAATGTTTTCATCTCTCCAAAGTGGAAAGACTCATCTATGGACAGAACTAGTATCATCCAGCTTTAACGATAAGAAAATGCAAGTTGTTTGACTTCAAGTGCCAACTAGATTGCAAAGCTGATGAGTTTTAAACTGATATTATTCCGGGGGGATTATTTCCATCACATTCTTAAACACAGTCAGCAAGAAGGAAATAAAAGTACCACTAGACTCATATATTATAAGAGTAATTTATAAATGGTGACTTAGGATTCAAAAGTAGGATGTGCATGTGCTAATACAAGGCAGTCAGTATTACAGATCTTATAAGGCTGTGACAGAAAGCTATTTTCACAAGAAATAAGAAGCAGGTTTCCAGCTATACAACAGACACACTTAATTTAGAAGTCTCCATAACAAAATTTCTGGAGTATCTTGAAGCACATTCAACTATGATTAAAGTCAGCATTGCATGAATTCCTGAGCTGAGTCTTATATATGCTCACTCAGAAGTTAAGAACCAGACATGGCAGGCTTCCTGTCTGCTTGTTTAGAATGTTAGGATTATTTCATCCCTCTCAACCAAGCTAGTTTATCTCTTCACAGACCTTAAACTGAATATTTAAAAAGCAATTTGGCTTACAACCTATCATCAAGTCCCATAACACAGAACTCAACAGGAAGACAGTAAAATCCAAGGCAGACAAACTATTTCATCACTTTACTTATACCAAAGCCCAGCATAATGCAGGTTATCAAATAATGATGAATTATCCCAAGCTGTTTCCACCACCTTTTGAATCAAAAAGCTATTTAAATCTTATTTTAAAGTTGATGTTTAGTGAATGAGGTATAGAAATCAAATAGGAAGATCTGCTACAAAATAGAGCAGACCTATCTTAATTGGGGGGTGGGGGGGAATATAGGCACTGTTATTTCTGAAAAAGTGACTGACACCTTGACAAAATTCCCATTGGAAAGAATGGGGAATCACAAAATTTAGTATATGGAGACATGTTTCTTGAAAGATAAATTGGCCATACACACTCTATTAGCTTTCAACTTTAATAAACATCCACTGCACAGGAAGTGAAAAATGTTTCCCTAAATTACATGCAAATATATACCAAATCCAAACATGAATCATTCCCAATGCCACCTCAATCATTAGCACAAAAACTATGCTTAAATGTTAGTAAAATGCAACAAAACTCAGACACCCCATTCTATAAATTCATACACACAAAAATGTTTTTTAAAATCCTGAAAGTTCTGCCTTTTAAGTCAGCAAAAAGTATGCATGCACCCCATCTGCCAATTAAGCACCTCTCTACCCCATCAGTGCTCTTTATGGTTATTTTTTTTCAGCTCCTTGGTTTGTGTTCATTCTTCAAAAACCACCTACTCCAGCTATCTAAAACCAACTCCCTTAAATTACCCACATTTCATTTACTTTTCTAAGCCACTCCTTTCCTCTTAGGTCACTCCGTTTTGAAAGTTTACCCTGCAGCAGCCTGTTTCCTTTTTCCTGATAAACCTGAGGCCATCTACGTATCCAATCTTTTTCTTTCCTGAAGCTGTATTTTATCTATGGGGATGCAGAAGTATGTTGAAAGAAAATGGAACAGTAGCAGCAAGGCCTCCCAAATGCCCAAGTGTTGATTTTGTTGTTTTACAAGTCTTTGAACCATTTTCTATTTCAAAAAATGGGAAGCGTGAAGAAGGACCTGTCTTATAGGGGGCACAGTGGCAGTCCCTCTAAAACTTGATAATCAAGTTACAGATACAGATATTTTGAACCTGTTTATTTCCACCAACCAAACTCACTGAAGAGAATAAACGAGATTATAAATTAAATCTAATGTAAGGGAGGGAATTTCTCAGATATTAAGGGAAGAAATTAAATCTAATGTAAGGGAGGGAATTTCTCAGATATTGAGGGAAGAAATTACGGTGCAAGAAAAAAAGTTAAGTCACATCACTAGGATTTCACTGTAAAAGGGAATATTTAAAGCACAACGGCTTCAAATTCATGACCTTAAATAGTATCTCACAAACTCAAACAGCCAATTGTTATTTGTAAAATATTCTTTGAACATTGTTATCTTGTATGCAATTTACTATGTAGTACTATGTATTACTGTTGTACAAATTCCTTTTGTTTTTATTTTTTGAACTGGTAAACTGAGAACACCTTCTTCTTGTCTGCCGTCATCTATAATTTGTGCTCAAGCACAAGCAAAGCAAAAGGGAGTAAATATTTATGTTAAACTATCCTGATTCCACCATTTTGTTTTTAAATAAAGGCTGTCAAACTGCAGTTTGGCTAAACCCAAAGATTAAACTCCTCCGACCAGTTTTTTTTTTTTTTTAATTTCACGGCAAGGTGAACATGTTCAACAATATTTAATGTTGATATTAAAGTGTAAAGATCTTGGATAAATCCAGATAGGGAGCTGTCTGAACAATATTTCTGAATGACCAACTATGGATCTCTGCTTTTTGAGTTGAAAGACAGTCTTTCATTGTTCATTTGGAGGAGGGGGGGAAGCAGGGCCCCCTCCCAATTTGTCCATGTCTCTGCAAATCCTTGGCTCTAAAAAGAAAAAGAAAAAAAAATCTGCTTTTGCTTCTTGGAATAGTTTGGCCAATCACCTCCTATTCGGATTAAGGAGGAGGAAGAAAATCCTTTCAGGGTCAGGAGAGGCCACGTGGCGCCTGTCAGTTCGGCAGATTTGACTGAAGGAAATCGATTGCGCAGCAGCTCTTTCCATGCAGTCAAGCTCTCGCGGCCTGCATTAAAACGCCTCTAGGGCAAGAGTGTCCCTGAGCATGAGCAGAGCGCCGCCCTCTCCTTGCTTCACAGCTAAGGGGGCTTTGACAACGGAGCGAGCTTAACCCCAACGATGCTTTTTCAAGAGGCAACTGGACTTTCTGGGTTAACTCCCCCACATCTCTTCTCCTTTGCTGCCGGGGAATATGGGGAGGGGGTGTAGTCCAATATCAGGCGAGCGGGGGTTGCGGGGGGGGAGGGGAGTTCAAACGGCGTGAACCGGGAAAGAGGCGTCCGCGGCTTCGTTCCAAAAAGGGATTCTTTCGTCGAGCGCGTCCTCGGCTAACCCCAGTCGTGGCCCTTCGCCAACGCCCTGCAGCAACCCCACCTCGCTCCGGCGCCATTTTGTCCAACGGTTCCTCCTCGGCTTTCCTTCAAGGAGACGACTCGGCTGGCCACGCCCACCGCCTTCCCGCGCACCGATTCAACCCGCGCCCTGATTGGCCAGGCGGCCTCTCGGTCGACCCACGCTGCGTTGGAATTGGCTCCTTTTGTCTCTTTAGCGTTTCCCAAGCACGGAACGTTCGGTCCCCTTTCCTTTCTCTAAAGGGGGCTCACACACACCCCACACACACACACACCGCCCTTCGGGCAAAGTATGCAAATCGTGGAACGCCACTCTGGGAAGCCATTGGCTCCCTTCTCAGAACACAAAGGGAAGAGCAAGCCTCCTCTCGTTCTCTTTGTCTCGCCTGTTCATGCAAATAAAGCGCGCCGTGAGGGAAAGCCATTGGCTCCCGGAGACGTCATCCAGTTCCGAGACCCGCCTCGCGCTCTTGGGAGGGATGAACGTTCTAGAAAAAAGGAAAGAGGAAGAAAGAAGCGCGGCAAAAAAAAAAAAAAGCCGGCCGGCACCCCTTGACTCATGCGCCTCCCTGACCCCGCCCTCTTCTTCCCCCTTCCTCCGGCTTTATTACGTCACGGGCTGCTGCGGCAGCCATTGGCGGGAGGCCGGCCTGCGGGCTTATGGGATTGGCTCGCTGGCCGGAAAGAGGCGTAACTCTTCTGGAAGGTTCTCCAGAGGTATATAAGGTCCGTGGCCGGCCCGGGAAAGCCGCTTTCTACTCTTGGCCGGTCTCGTGGCGTCTTTTGTATAGATTGGTCCACGCGAGAGAAACAGGTAATTATGACTTTTTTATTTTATTTTCCTGGCCAGAAGGAAGCAGCAATAGCTGGAAAGCTGCTTTTTGCATTCTTAAATAATTAAGAGTATATATTTTTTGCTGGGTTTTACTTTATTTCCCCCCCCCCTTTTGTGCTAGTAAGAAACGAATAGGGCTGCTGGCTTCTACGGAGTGCAAATGCAGAGAGGGATGCTTTTTTTTTGGCGGGGGGGAAGGAAGGCGACTTTTTCTCTTCTCTTCCTCCTGCTCTGTTTCTCAAGGTGACCTGCATTTGGTCCGGCCTGGATCCTCTCCCTCCTTTCTAGCCGAGCCTTTGTCTGAAGCCTCCCCGCAGTAAAAAGAGGAAGGTTGCTGGGAAAGGGAGGAGGCGTGCAAAAAAAAATGGTGTGGGGGGGTTTGCATTGCGTTATATTACAGCAGGGCTGCTTTTCAAAACCCCCCCGCCTTTTTAAAAACTGGCTTACAACCCCCCCTCCCTTGAAAAGCATTTGGCGTTGCAAATCTCTACTCTTCCCCCCCCCCCCACAAACCTGGGATCGAGGCTGATGGCGGTTAAGGCGATTAACCTCTCCTTTTCGCCTGGATTGGGGATGGGGGGGGTGGGAGAGAAGGCACCTTCCTCCCTGACCCAATTACGGTAACATGAGAAGGGAAAAGGGAGGCATTTCATAGGGAAAAATAGCCTTGTGAAATCCCCCCCCCCGCACTTTTCCCTGCGTAATGCAGAGCAAGGCTGGTTCCTTTTAGCACTGATAAGGCTACGTAGTTGGGTCAAGAAACGCCTGCGGGAAAGTCTGTCTCTCTCGGGAAGCACCCCATAATCCTCATTCCACAGTCCTTATTCTCTCTTCCACCCCCCCAATACTTTTTTCCCTCTCTTCCACCCCCCCCTTTCTAGCCTTGATGAGGTCATCGGGTTGGGTAACGAACCGCCCGCGAGAAAACTCCCCAAAGCGCACCCCCTTTCTCTCCGCGAACTCCCACCTTCTTCAACTGATGAGGTCACCGAGTTGGGTCCTGAAACGTCTGCGAGGGAAGAAAAAAAAACCAAATTAAGAGACCACCCCCATAATCTCCCCTTTCCTCTCCGCACATGCCCACCTGCCCTGATATCACCGAGCTGGGTCTTGAGATGTCTGGCAAGTCAACCCGCCAAACTGCTTTCTCTTTCTCTCCTCCCTTTCTTTCCCCAGTTGGATCCCTGCTACAAATTCTCTCGGGGGGAGAAAAAGGGCTTCTGCCCGGCTTAAGCCGAGCGAGGGACGCAGGGAAAAAAAAAAGCCTTGCTTCTCTTCCCTCCCCCCGTTTTAATGCTTTCAATAAGGCCTTCAGGGAGGCAGCTGTAAGGGAGAAAAGCCGGCGAAAGGAGGGGGGGACTATTCTCAACGAACCCCGGGTCCTTTGTGGCTTGCAAGACCGAGAAAGGGAGGAGGGCGAGAAGCAGCAGCAGCTCCGGGGCCTCTTTTCCTCCGAGTGCGGGGGCGCAAAAAATACAACCCCCTCCTTCAAAAAAAAGGGGGGGTCTGCCAGTTGCTTGCTCTTGCTGGCACGTGCTCGGCAGCGCGCTCTTCCGGACCCGGGCAGCGCAGCACGTGGTGCGGCCGAAGCCCCGCCCCTTTCCCCCCCTCCGACGTTCCACACGGGGCTTCCCCCCAGGGGCGTCGCCACGTGGTCGCTCCAATGAATGAACGAACGAGGAAAAAGGATGGAATTCTCTCCAAGGTTATGAAATTGCTCCCCGGTTTGGATATGGCAAAGGTGGGGTTTTTTTGCGGGGGGGGGGTTAGGTGAGTTGATTTGTATATTGGGATAAATTACATAAAATTTTTTAAGTTTTTTTAATTTTAAAGTGTTTTCAACTCATCTATTTTTACTCATAAACATTTTGAATACAGTGTATTGTCAGGGTGTATAGTTTACAGAAAAGCAAAAATATTAAAACATACTAATTTAAATATACTAATATTAAAACATTATATTAACAGTAATAGTGTAACCCAATATTTGTAACTAGATTTTTCTTTATATTAGCTTATTTACAGTTGTATTGGGTTACATTTGGCACATTTTATAATTATACTAAATCATCTTTATATTAAGTTCATACATAGCAATAATTTTCGTCTAGTTTCTACCTCTACTTCTCAGCTTCATTCAAAGAGTGACTAGTTTGAAATGGTTTCAAGCCAAACTTTTCCCCTTTTTTAAGGGGTCTTGGACTGCAACACTGCAGAATTTCCTAACCAGCCCCAATGATGTTTATTATTAGAATTTGTCAAACAAAAATAAAAATACAATGACAGGGACAATAGGCATGTTAGTGCACTTACGCGCACCCCCTCTATGGACCACTTAAAAAGTCTACTGAAGTCAATTTGTGACTGAAACTCTGAAAATTAGTAGCTGAAACAACTGAATCAGGTAGGGTATTCCAGACTTTAACAACTCTTATTACAGAAATCATTTTTTACAGTCAAGTTAGAACAAATTTAAAGTGGTTATTAGTGTATTATTGCGATTAAAACAAAAAAGGTTATTTCTGTTGACGGGGGAATACTAGGAATTGAAGTCTAGACACCTTAAAAGGTGCAAAATTTGGTTTAAGGGGTTGGACCTCTTCTAGGTGCCCAGGTTGAACAACTAACGCTTGCTTTAGGTGAGAAGCAAGAGAGGGCCTGGTTCTCTCTAGGTGACAAAATATCTTGTTTTTATCTTTGCAGTTCACCATGTCTAAGGGACCATCTGTCGGGATTGATCTGGGCACCACCTATTCCTGCGTTGGGGTCTTCCAACATGGCAAGGTGGAAATCATTGCCAACGACCAGGGGAACAGGACTACGCCAAGCTACGTGGCGTTCACAGATACGGAGAGGC